AACCAAGGCAGGCTCCCTGGAGGAGGTAACTTCAAGTGAGGGATGTGGAGCTGCCTGAGGGCTTTCTGAACACCATGGGACTGAAAGGAAACAACCTGCCCTGAATTCAAGTCCCAACCCCAGTCCAGACTTCTTCCCTGGGTCACCTAGAGATGAGTCCCTCTCTTCTCCGTGCAAAATGGGCTCAGAGAAACCAGATTCTGATCCTTACTCAGATGAGTACAATCAGCCCTTCCAGAGCGGCCCCTGCAGTACCCAAATGTGGCCACTAGGTGGTAGCAGGGAGTGACCCGGGGACCGACCTCCTTCCAGATGCTGAGACTACAGCTGCTCTGATAGGTACCTCCCCCAATACTGGGTGGTCTCTGCTCCCCTGCACCCTCGACTGGCTCTCTAAGGAGCCAGAGCTGGGTGGCCCTCCACCTCCAGACATTTGATCCTCCCCCACAGCCCTGCGGAGCACTCAACACTCTCCAGTTTTTAGATGGGGAAAGTGTGATGGGGGAGGAGAATTGTTCAAGGTCACACATCAGGCCTGGCAAAGACAAATCCCCAACTCTCTTTCCCGGGCCCGTCCCCATAACAGAGGCTGTGTAAAGGGGACCTGTGCACAGACAGACTTGGGTTGGAGGCCTGGTGCCCACACACCTGGCTGTGTGTCACTGGGCAGGTCACCTACCCTCTCTGATGCCACTTCTCTAAGTGCCTGACACAGGGCAGATCCCTAAACACACAGCTTTGTTTCTGACCTTTCTGACAGACCAGATGTATCTATCTTACCTTAGTGTCTCCAAAGCCTGACCCTGCCTGGAACCCAGGGCAAGGGCCCCCCTGGTCTCCCCCATCACAATCAACCATTCATTCTCCCCTTCTCAGCATCCAGTGCTTGCTGCTTAGTGGCTATTCTCCCCTCCCTACTCCCCTGTCCCCCACCTCTCTGTCCTGCCTCTCCCACCGCCTCTCTCCCGCTGAGCCCCACTCTACACTACACTGTGTTTACAAGACAGCAGTGACAGTTTTTTATTTCTCTTTTGTTTCCCTTCCTCCCCTGGAGGGAAATGTGCTCCCAGTCTCCCAGGAAAAAATGAAGGCTGCAGCAGAGAAAAGCGCAAACAAAGGACAGTGGGGCCATGGGCACCCCAGGCCCCCCGACCAGTCACCCTTAACCATGTGCACACACAATCCTCCCCTTGTAGAACCTCCAAGAACACTGTGTTATTTAGGGGGTAATTGAAAATGTCGATCTTTATTCTAGAAGATAAACAGGGCAGGAGGATGAGAGAGCCAGAGGAAGAGAAGAGATGGCAAAGTGGGGGTGAGGGGAGGAGAAAGACTGAGAGGGAGAAAATCAGACAGAAGACCATGGACTGGCCCAGGGGAGAGAGGAGTCAGAAGGGTCAGTGAGCGTGGAGAGGCCATTTCTAACCCATCAGGCATCTTGGGGGCCCTGAGCTTCCCTGCCTGCTCCTCCATACCACCAGGCCATGGGCCAGGGCCAAGGGGGTGGTGGCAGGAGCCTTGTCCTCAGTGGCCCCATGGGCCAGGGCCAAGGGGGTGGTGGCAGGAGCCTTGTCTAGAGCTCTGTCCTCAGTGGCCCCAAGGCAGGCCCCACAGGGGGCTGGCTTGCCTTGGGCAAGGGCTCACACCCAACCATCCCATCAGGAGATCCCAGGCTGGAGGGCTGAGAGCCAGCGCCAGGGGCAACTCTGGGCTGACAATCATCCCAACTCCTTCCTGAGCAAGAGAACCCCCCTAAGCACCTGCATCTGTGCCTGTAGGGAGGAAACGGAGTGTTCTCAGGGTGTTTCTGTTCTCAGGGTGTGTCTGTCCACAGCAGTGCACAGAGTGAGAGCCATCCCAGGTAGGCGCGGGGAGGTGCAGAGATCAGAGGTGCCTGGAGAGTCAGGCGTGCGCAGCAGGTGATGTCCGTGCATGGGTAGTGTGGGTGTCTGTACCCATCTTCCCTGAGTGTAGCTAACAAGGCCGTGTGTTTGAATGTGTGCTATGTATGCACACGTGTGCGATGCATGTTGTGAAGACGTCTGCATTGTCTCCATGCAGGTGTGGGAGGAGCAGGGCTGGGGGTCACTCTGCCTGGGTGCCTGTGGATGATCTGCTGATGTGGCCCCCTCTTTTGCTCCTGCCCAGGTTCACCACCTCCCAGGTCCCAGGGGCCAGAGTGACAAGGACCCCCAGGGCCTCTTCAGCAACGATAACACGACAGACCTGCCCCCCAGCCAGGAAAGCCAGGACACAAGAGTATTGCTACTAAATCCTGACCTGGGTCAGCCAACTTGGAGGCCAGGCCCCAGAGCCCCTGGAGAGAGGGGGCAATCCAGTGGGCACCCCACCATGCACTGGGGTGCATTCCCCTCCAATATTGGCTCATGCCTGAAGAGAGCTGCTACTTATCCTCCCAACGAGAGCCCTGCTCTCCTGGAGGGCAGGACTACCTGGGCCAGTACTTCTAGGACTCAGAGGCCAACCTTTGCTGAATGACGGAATGATGGCATCTGTATTACCATGTGCCAGGCCCTGGGCCTACGTACTGAGGGTTCAGATTGAAGTGGGGCAAGAATCAGACCAGCGCTTCCTGCTGGGCCAATTTTGGTCCCCTATAAGACTGTTCAAAAGAAGCTGAGTCGATGTCGGCGGGGAGCCACTGCTCCCTCAACCTTCTGCAGGTCAGCTACCTGGATACATCACCCCAGGGGAGGAAAGGCCAAAAGAGGGCTGTTTTGCCAAAAGGTCAGTCCTAAGCTAAATGATCCTGTCATTTGGGGGACTGAGGCACAAGGGAGGCTCCGTTCATCTTTCCTGGAGTCTCGGCCCCTTCTTGGCAGGACCCTCTCTCCTCCAAACATCTTCATTCCCCAGAGGTCCATTCAGAACCCTCCAGCCTCCTTACCTGCCCTTGGGGCCACAAATCCACCCCAAGAGTTAGTGCCTGCTCTCGAGCTCACTTCCAGAGCCTACCCATGTCCCATGAGAGCTGAGGTGGGGGTGAAGGTCTGTGCCGGACTGAAGCTGGATGTAGTCTTCATGTAAGTCAGAGGTCTCACCCAGGCTGAGCCCTGACTCTGGGTATAGACTGAACTCCAACCTTGTTCATACGCTGAGCCCTGACCTCCTGGGCCTCAGTTTCCTTATTTTTCCAATGGGAGACCTAAGCATGGGGTAAACTCTAAATCAGAAAACACTTACTGGTCTGCAGCAACCGACCTGGAGGCACAGGAGAGTGTCAGCTGCTGCCACCTGCCAGCCCCCACCCCCACCAACACGCTCAGCCCAAGCATCACTAATTTTTGCAGCCACCATGATAAATGGCATTGTCGGCAAAATGACATCTTTCTAATCTGCCACAAGACAGATGGGTCCCGAGCTTGTTGGCTCTCTCAAGAGCTTCCCTGGGCCAGCCTGGGGGATTGGAGGACAGACACAATACCCTGGCCGGGCAGTGGGCTACAGGAGGGAATTTCTGGCCCACACAGAAAACCGCCTTGGGGTTTTCTAGAAGCCCGTTTGTAAAATACTGGTTTTTGAAAATATTCCAAAAATAATCTCTGCTGTTCCTTTTTGTCCAAAGTTAGTTCCGCCATTCAATTTTCAGTTTGAATTAAAACCGGAATATTTTCAAATTCCCCAGGTGCGCCAGGAGCACATTGTTGCCAGCAGGGCCCTTCCTGCTCCCTCCACTGCAGGGACCAGGAGCTGCAGAACATGCCTCTGCCTGACTCTCGGGGCCTGGAGGATATTTGCCCCCCCCCCCTTCCTTCCTAAATCCTTCTGGCCGCATAGTTGCTGCCTCTTCTGCCATCTGCCCCAGCCTGGGGGCAGGATAGGGGTCCCTCATGCCTCAAGTGGCCAGGAGATCTGGGAAGACTGAGAATGGGGGATCTGGATATCGAGAAATAGGGAAAGACAAGCATCATCCCCAAAGACTCCAGCTCCCACTCCAGACCACTGGCAGCTGTCTGTCCAAAAACCGAAGCAGGGGAGTGGGGGAGTGGGTGCTGGGCTAGACTCAGAAAGAGAGGGAACACTGCCCCCTCCTGGCCATCTGGTGCTTCTCCTCTAAGAGAGCTGCTTGCTAAGCTGGGTTGCCCAGGGACCCACCAGCAACATCAGGAGGCAGCTCCTCCCAGCAGTCTCCTTGATCCTTCTCCACCTCCCTAGGATTGCAACCCCCTGCTCTGCCCATCCTAGTCCAGCCTTCTTTCACTACCCAGAGAATCTTTTGCAAAGACTGCATCTTGTCTAGCCCCGTCACACTGAGGACAAAGCCCGAGTTCCCGCCAAGCCACCCATCATTGCTGTTACCAACAAGACTCCTGCCTTCAGGCTCCTGCTCTCTGAGGGTCCTTGCTGCCCTATCCTGCAGCCCCCACCTCTTGTGCATGCCTCTGCCCTCATCGTAACCATCAAGAGTGCCCTCCCTTTGCCAGGTCCAGTTGGAGGCCTTCCCCACAGGGGTCCTAGCTCCATTCCCAAGCTGAAAGGCCCTCCCTCCCCTGACCACACCTCCTGCCCTGCTCCTCTCCTGACACTGTCAGGGGTCAGAGTCTGCAGCTCTGAGCTGGAGGGACTTGAACGTCCTCCAGACCCACCCCACTGCCCACAGGGCAGCCCTGAGGCCCAAAGGTGAAGTGCTAGGAAAGGCAAGGTCACACAGCACACTAGTGGCTGGAACTCAGCTCTCCAGAGACTCTGCCAGGGCTCCGTGGGGGACATGTGTGGCCCTTCCTGGTGAGCTGAAACAGAACTTCTGCAATACAGGGACCCCCATAATATCTCCTAGTGTCCCCCAAGTCAGAGCCCCAAGAAAGCGGTCTTCAGTGTTTGCAAACCAAAGGAATAAAAAGATGTAAATATTTATTTAAAATCTTCTGTATGCTGGACACAGGAGGCACCGGCTCGGCTATTAGAAATCTCAATTATTCAACTCAATGTGGTATAGAAAAATAACTTTTGTGGGGAGGGGAAGTGAGCGCAGTAGGCGCTCAGTCGTGAATGTCGATGACCAGAGGGGTCAAGTGGGGTGAGTGCTTGATGCCCATGGAGAAGGCTGGTGCTCGGGGCTTGTGCACTGTGACCTGCTGGACCTCGTGGGAGCCGGGGCCGGGCCGAGGTGTGTGCTCCACCGGGTAGCCAAAGCGCTTGGCCATGCTGTAGCTGGGGCTGCGGTTCTGGTAGACAGATGGCTCGGGCCGGGCATGCATGGCGGGCCCAGGGCCCCCTGCCACGTCCTCCTTGTAGAACCAGTTCTTGTCCTGGGAGGCCAGACTGTAGCAAGGGGCAGATCGCTTGGTGGGGATGTTAGGCCCCAGCAAGAGTGGCAGCTGATACTGGTTGGGGGCCGGGTTGGGGTCCATCACTCTGTATGGGCACCGGTAGCCGAACGTGTACTGGGGAGCCCTGCGTTCATCAAGTGGGGGGATCTTCTCCGAGTGGTAGTGGCAGGAGGCTGGGGTGGAGAGCAGGCCTGAAAGGGCGCAAACGAAAGGGGAGGTATCTCAGGACAGGAAGCCAGGCTGCACCTCCTGAGTCCAACTGATGGGTCCGGCTGGACTTGGCCAGCCTGGTGTGACATCACTAGAACCACCTGGGCATTGAAAGGGATGTCACCACCTTTGCGCGGGGCTGCGGACAGGAGAGGGACTTACATCCTAACCTCAAAATTGTGACACTATTATCAAAATGTAAACCACAAGGGTCATCAAAATATCCCGTGGGCTGTCAGAATTCTGAAATTGTCCCTGTGACAGCACCAAGAAAATGGAAATCACAGTGGTGCCTGAGCTCATTAGCATGCTGTGAGCTCCACCACCTTCGTAGCATTAACATCACCCTGAGATATGTACGCCTAACATGGGCATCAAGATGTAAGTACTGTGACACAGCACGTCACTGCCCACCTGTGACAGCGGTGTCTTGGTGTGACAGCACATCCAAAGACACACCTCAAGACCTGTTCAGGTCCGAAGGGTGGGCCCCATATCCCACCTCCCACCCCGCCTCCCTCCCCATCCCATCTTACGCAGGTTGGAGATACGCTCCTCCATGGGGACCTGTGGGCAGCTGGACACTCCGAATCGAGTTATTTGGGGATCCAAGAAATAGCAAGGCCCAGGGCTGTGCACATCCACAATCCCTGCAGGGCAGCCAAGCAAAGGCCCAGTCAGTTCCAAGGGCTGCCCCAGGGTGACCCTGGCCTACCTCCAGGTGGCCGGCCCCTCCCCCCACCAAGAGAGGGGCAAAGTGTCCCCTCTATTGCACTGGCTTGCCCGTGTTCCAGGACCCTATTTTCCTCATCTGGGAAATGGGCTATTAATGCATGAGCTGCCCTTCTCAAGAGCTTTTCAGAGGAACAGCTGCTTGGTTAGCCCCCCACCTGTCAGGGGCCGGTGCCAAAGGGTGACAGCAGGCACAGTGACTGTTAGCAGTGAGAGAGGCACAGTATTAAGGGTGTCCCCTGAGGAAGAGGTATCTCTCCAGCTACCCTAATCCGATACATACCTCCGCCCTGCCCAGCCTCTCCTCTCGATGGCCTTGACCCTCCTGTGGCCTTTGGCTCCCAACTGGGGGCTTCTAAACCACCTAGGAATCTTTGGGGACCACAGCTCCTAGTCATTCCTGCCCTGTTGCAGTGACAAGTGAACTCATGGCCATCAGGGTTAAAGGGCCCAGTCGGAAAGGTGTCCCTTCAAAGCTCAACCTGGAGGTGCCTGTGAAGGGAGTCTGTGGGTGGCCCCAGTGGCTTCCTTCTGCATTCCACAGGCCACCTGGTTGGCCCACTCAGGGCAGGCCTTGATTCCCAGGGCCTGTGGCTGCAGAGAATGGCTCTCTGCCTCTCGTCCTCACACCACCCATCTAACACCCAGATGGCAAGGACCATGGGGAACACTCACGTTTCTCCGAGTGCCGGGTATGCAGGGTGTAGGCTGGTTCCTGGAACATGGAGGTGTCGTGGTCTATGTAGCCAGTGCAGGATGGCCGAAGGTACTTGGCAGGCCCTGGACCTGGGAGGTGAACAAGGCTGCCCTCAGTCTGGGCACACCAGACCTGAGGTAATACAACCCAATACGGCGTACCATGAGAGCACTGGGTGCTGTGGTCCCACAGGGCCACACTATCATGGATCCCACCATCCAGCTGCTTCCTGTGGAAAAGGACAGCGTTCCCAGATAAAATGCAATTTCTCTTGGCTAAGAAATGCATAGTAAGGCAGGCAAGAGCTACAACAAGTTGAAAAATATTCTGTTCCAAGTACTTTACTAACCTTTTATTTTTAAGCATGGAAGCACTGAATTTCAGGCCAGAAGTGCAGGGGGTGTGAGGATTCACCAGACACACAGTGGGGAGCAGGACAGACGGATCTAGTGAAATAGACTGCTGAGGGAAGTGCAGGTGAGACAGGAGAAGTCTGCTGTGCCATGTGGGTCAGCTCCCTGGTGGTGGATGGAACTCAAGCCATAAGGATAATAGCACTGAGACTTAACCCCTAGGCCACCAGAGAGGCCCTCTACTAAACATTTTATGTGGATGATTTCTGTTAAGCCTTTCTGTAACCTTATAAGATGAATACTAGCTTTCCCCCTCTGAGTGATGAAAACACTCAGGTGTGAAATAGCAACTTGCTGAGAGACGGTGTGATGGTGGGTGCCTTGTTGGTGGGGGTGGCATGGTAACATGCATCTGAAAAGCTGTGAGCTCTGAATCATCCCTGGTGTTGTTAACCAATGTTACCTCATTAATAAATAATAATAATACAAAAAAATATATATATATGAGGTTAAAAAAAAAGTATCAATTTTTCCTAAGTCAAAGGACATGTGAAAATTCTGAGACAACCAGCCAACTAAGTCCAAATGTTTAAACACTAAGCTACTTCTCACACAGAGAAACAGTCAATCATTAACAGTGTAGTAAGAATTAGTTGCCTGCTTTCCCCATGAGAGCCCAATTCAAGAGATGTAAGCAAAATTAACCTGGACTAAAAGCTCTCCCAAATCCCTAGCCTTTTCCAAAACTGGTCTCACAGCACTTCCCTGTCCCTCCCTTCCAGACTCCCCTAAAAATCCCCAGCAGCTAATACTCCATAGAGATTCTGCCTAGAGGCTTCTCTCCCATAGGCCTCCAGGAGCATGGAGGGTCTTTGCAGGAGGCAGGGCTGGAAGGTTGGAGCCTCAGCAGCCCCGCAGAGTAGTGGGCCCGAATGAGTAGGTGGGTGCTCTCACCTTTGAGCTTTGCCATGATCACAGGGGTCTGCTTCACCTCCTTCATGGAGGGTAGTGACACCTTCTTCTCTGGGTGCTGCCCATAGAACACAGCATTGTGGAGGCCCTTGGGGAGTGTCATGAATGGGGATGGGAGAAACAATAGCAGTTACTGAAAAACCAAAGCAGTAGGAGAAGAGCTGGGCCTGTGCAGAGAGTGAGGGAGAGGCTGTTCAGGGTGCCCCTCCCCCAGGCTCTCAGTTCTACCCCCACCCAACTGCAGACGCAGCTTGGGGCAGGAGGGATGCTGGTTGTCCAGCCGAGCAGCTGAAGCTGTTGAGGATCAGGCTACAGCCCAGTGAATCTCAGCAAAGCTCAGCTACAATGACATCACTGCAGAACTTGGACTATGAAAGTGTTTATTTCCCTCAGTTGCCATGGTGCTAGAACTGTGGCGTGGAAATTCTATGGTGGCCACTTAGTGGTGAAACGCTGAGAATTTGGCCTCACTACCCATACTCCAGACTATACTAAATCAGGGTCAGTCCAGAGGGTCCCCAGAACCAGGGAGCAGGGAAGGAAAAGGAGAGGTGAGTGACGGGGGAGAAAGCTCTTCACTCCTGTCATGCCCAGACAGCTGGGTCAGGAATGAAGAGCCAATGGGTCATTGATAAAGGGCCCCTGCCACCCACACAGCCCTCTAAGGTGGCCCTCAGAGCTCTCCCCTAGCCCTCTCCCCTCTGTCCAGTCCACCCAACTTCCCAGGTAATGAATACTCCCTCCCTTCTCTCCAAGTCTGTGTTTCCTTGGGAAAGGAACGAGCAAATTATCTCACATTATCTGATTAGTTTTAGATGTCTAATCCCAGGACATGGAATCTTTAGAAATCCTTATTTAACTCAAGGAATTAAGTGGCTTTCAGACAGGGAATGAGGAGGAAAGATGGGTGGGGGCCTTAAGAAGCCATTTCCTGTGTCCTTTCCTGGGAGAAGAAATACTGTGTGGTTGGGAAGCTACCCAGCTGCCTTAGGACTCATGGATAATCCTCAGGGCTAAGGAAGCCTCAGGTCTGGAGACCACTTCACTCCTGAAAACCCAGGAGCCCTAGGGAGCCTGAGGCCTCTCTGTATGCACTGTTTCACATTCCATCCTGGGGACTTGATATGAACAAGGTAAGATAGTTTCCTGAAATAGATCAAACCCAGGGGAACTGGCTGACCCAGTTAATGGGTTCTTACTCGTGCTCTAAAGAATGTAAGATACAACCCAAAAGGAGACACATGGGATAAACAATAACAACAAGATGTATTTACACAGGAAATGAGAAAGGGAAGAGTGGAGAGAAGGAGAGGCTAGTTAGAGGCTGGCATATGATCAGAAGCCATTATACCCCAGGTAGCATCCACTGAGCAGAAGCTGAGGTCCTAACTGAAGCCACACATGGTGGCTTCTCCACTAACATCCCTCCTTGCCAGTGGTTTACTACCAAAGACCAGCTTTGTTTCCCAGAAGCTCTTGCCCCTTAGAACAACAGGGAATGAAGTCTAGAAAGTTCCACCTTCTGTTACAGAGTAGCTCAGAGTGGAGCAGGGGATGGAATCCACCAAACTCTGCAGAGTTCTTTTAGGACATCCTTCCCCTTAACACTTCTACTACTGAATTGGTTACGATTGACTGCCCCAGAGGCTGTTCCTCACTGTTCCTCTTACAGCTCCATTTTAGGAACAGGTGATGCTGGCTCTCAAAAGGCTATCTGTCACAACTTTAGTATACAGGTAAGGAAGTGAAGCCCAGGCAGTGCCAAGGATTTGCCCACAGACTCCCATGACATCAGTAACAGGCAGACAGAACCAGGATACAAATTCAAAGCCCCCTCTGGGTCAGGCAGACTTACAGTAACCCAACCATGCTCTGAACTCAGCCAGCAGGCATGAGAAGACTCATGAACAGACTAGCCAGGCATACTAGGCCTTCCAAAAGCTCCTGATGGGACTGAGAGTGTCAAACCAACCTAGTGGTTGTAGGCCCTCCCGTTGTCCCTCTCATCACCTGTAAGGCCACCAAGTCTGTGATTCAGAAATCAGAGGTGACATCTGCCAGTGCTACCCCCTCATCCCTGTCCCCATCAGCTTCTCCAGGAAGAAACTGACAGCTTGCTGAACTTGAGCCCTGTTGGTCCCATTTCACAGATAGGGCAAAATCTGGGCTCAGACCTCCACCTTCCTGTCTAAAGCAGGGGTATTCCAGGGAAGCTTCCCTACACTCCACCACCTGCACTACTATTTGTTGTCCTTGCCCATGGCCAACTTCCTATACCCCAGCATGTCACAAGCTGTCCCACTTCTGTTCCAAATGCTTCCTTTGCTCCAAGTTTTATGGAAACTTAGTTCAGCCCTCCGTCCTCTCTAAAGCTGGCTATTCAATTTCTTATACTTCCTCCCCATCCCTACCTCTCCTACTTCTGAGTCCAAGGTGGAATGGGACCCTGCCTTCCTCAGTCCCAGACAGGCAGTGCCCCATCAAAAGCACCACTGTTGGAGAGTCCCAACAGTCAGAGCGCCCCTCATCTTCCTGAGGCTGCCATCTGTCCCTCTCCTGTAAGTCTGGCAGCTCTAGCTCATACTCTTCTTCCCCCAGCCCCTGGCATTACCCTAGTCGTTGAGACCTCCCCAGGGACTACCCACTACATCTTTCTACACTTCCTGTTACCACCCTCCCCACAGCCTGGGCTTCCCACCTACCTGGACACCATCTCTTGAACGTCCCCTTCTTTCGCTGCAGGAATTGCTTCCTGTCACTGAGCCCCGCACTGACCCTGCATTTCTTCCTCACCTTCAGTTCCCTCCTGCCTTCCATCCCCTACTCGGCTGGCTCCTTTCCTAGTAAAACGCCAGGCCTGCCCACCAGGTCAGCCTCACCCACCTGCAGCAAGCAGCTCAAAGCCCAGACCTGGACTTGCTTGTTGATCCTCCACCGCGAGTGCCCGTCCCTGCTCTGGTCAGCTCACACTCACTCTCCCTGGAGACCACTGAAACGGGGCTCCTGCAGGCCTCCTGTGCAGCCTCCCCTCAGCAGACAAGAAGCCATCAGGCCAAACTCTGACTGTCACCCTCCCATTGCACCCTCAGAACCCCCAATTTCCTCTGTTCCCATCTCCTACTTGACCCCTAGGGCTCACAAGGACCCACCAAGACCTCTACTTTCCAGGAGCCTTCATTTCCCCTTGTTCTCTCTCAGCTCCAACCCCTCATCAGACCCCTCCCTTCATAGCCCCTCTCTAGGAAAATCCAAAACCGTGGCCCAGGACCTCCCCAGCCCTGTCCTCATCCTCTCCCTCAGCCCATAGTCCTGGGTCCCTTAGAGGTGGTGCTTCTCTGTTTCTGTTCTTACGTCTCCTTCACTCTTACACCCCGCAGGCTCCCCTAGCCCATCACTCCACCGAAACTGTGACCCACAGGAGGAAGCCACAGGAGGGTGGATACTTCACCCTCGCCAGTGGAGGACTCAGCCGAACTTCCACCCACTTCGTCCTCCCAGCACCTCATCCTGGCCCATGCTCTCCCAGTTTCCCCACTGTCCCTTCACAGCATTTCTTCCTGACTCATCTTCTTCAACTTGACCTTTCAAAGTTGGCCTATGCTTATTCGTTGCAAAGGGAAAAACTTTACAGGAAGAATCCTGGCAGGCAATGCCTCAGTCAAGTAATGTAAGTTCACACCAGGGACAAAATGGGATAGATGGGTCCCCAGAGCCTGCCCTGAGGGGCACCCCTCCCATCTTCCCTCCAGAGATACATAACCTGAGTCTAATTATGAGGAAACCACACAGGCTCAAATCAAAGTTCACGCTACAAAATAACTGGTGTGTCCTTGCTCCCAAATAGAAATGTCATAAAAGGCAAAGGAACACTGAAGAACAATTTCAGTAATAGAAACTCAAAGGACAGGACAACTCTAAAGTAAAACTAAAGTCATAAGCATGAAAAATAGGATGGTGGCACTGTAGGGAGGTGCAGGGGGAGTCTGGGTAGAGACTGGGACAGGGGTCAGTTGTGTGACGAAGGACAGGAGCTAGACTTTCAGCCACAATCATGGGAAGTGTCTGCAGAAGTCGAATTAGAAGCCTCAGTCCTAAAACTTCTATGATGTTAGAAATAGTGTTACAAGAGAGCACTGTAAACTTTATTTTTAGAAAAAAAAAAGAGAGAGAGAACCATGACAAGAAGATAAAACAACCAGAGTCTAGCACTGAAAACATTGAAGGAAAAAAATAGGACAAGTCAGAGTAACATCAGAGCCAGGATTTTGTTTGTCTCTAAAGTATATCATTGGGAAAATTGACAAAAGTCCATGGCCAATTCAAAGTACTGTGCTCATGTTAACTTCCTGGTGTTCATCATCATCTCTAGTTATGGAAGAAAAGTCTCTTAGGAAATGCACACTGAAGTACTTAAGGATAAGGAAGCATTATGTCTGCAGCTTGCATCCAAAGGGTTCAGGAAAAAAAGTATCTATACCTAGAGAGAACAGTAGTTTTAAAGGTGGCAAAATATTCCCATTTGGAAAATGAAGTACATGTGTGTGGGAAGAATGCTTGCTGCTTTCCTGTAAATCTGAAATTGCGTCTAAACAAAACTTACAGAAGAAATGGTGTGTCAGAGTTCAGACCTGGGCTCTCCTCCCATCTAAATGCCCCTTGTCTCCCAGAGTTCCTCTCAGCTCCTCTTGCTTCCTTCCACCCCACCACCTGCACCCTGGAATTCCCCAAATAGATGCCTCTGGCCCTAACCCCTTCCACAGTGCTAGGGGTCCTCACAAGCACCTCTAAGTCAACATAACTAGAGCTTCCCTATGGAGACCCCCTACCCCTTGTCTGTCTCAATGAATGATACCAGCACCCACCCAAGTGCCCACTCCCACCACTGGGTTTGTCCAGGACACCTCCTTTGTCATCCAACCTGTCACCGACAGGTCACTTAAGACTTGTGAGTTTCCAAAGGTAGGGCCCCTCTCATTTATCATTGTGTCCCCACACACCCACTCATGCCTGGCAAGAGGTATGCACCTAAGAAATAAAGTTTGAACAGATAGTTCTCCCAGAAGCTATAATTTTAGATCTGCTTTTAAACAAAAAGATTTATTT